AATACAGCCTTTCTAAAGATACCTTTTCTAATGTCTCTGGCATTCTGGTTCATGGTTAAATAAGAAGGATATAGACATAAAAATTTGCACATCAACCATCTTACGAATTCAGCAACTTAACAAATGCTGTTCTCATCCTTGACTAAGTAGCAAGGCTTCTGCTGGGGATTCAGCATCTACAAAGTCTAAAATACTCAAAAACCAACATTATTTGAACAGTAGTATCCATCTAAGCTTTTTTTTTTTTTTTAACCTAGTAGGGGACTGTTGTGACCATGTCATGTCTTGAATGACTATTTCCAAACATGGACAAGATAAGCGAACAGAAAGCAAAATTGATTTGTCTCTTCTGCTGCCATTTGCACACACTGATAACAATGACATGTTTAGTCACCTTCTAGTCAACGACAATCCTGAACTGAAATGCAAGTATTTTTTTCAGGCAGAGATTTCCAATTAAGATCTGTTTTGCAATGCTTATATACCTGCAACATGGCACCTTCATCCTCCAAAATATCCTGAAAAGAAAGTCCAAACTTACTGGCAGTTGAAGTAGTAAGAAAAAAGGTTTTCAGCTCTCTTTCAAGAACTCTTCAATCCTAGATAATTTCTTGAGCCATCTTGCACTCCATCTGAAATACCAGGTCAGGCCACTAATTTTTTGCTGCTATTCTTTATTTCTGTGGCTTTTGACATTGGAGGTGCATTCCTTGGTATTATAAAAGTTTCAGGAGGAAGCAGTTAAAATAATTTCAAACTCCCAATTTTCAGACTGTTTGCTTTTTGAGTCTTCCTGCCTTCTACTGAACTGTGCTGGCAAAGTTTTCACACTCCCCGCCCCTCCCCCCCCACGTAACCTCTGTCATCCTGTACTTGTTAAATCAATGCCCACAGGGATTTTTAAGTGACATTAGTCCTCACTTCCCCACCCCGCCGCTGCCCCTGCCCCATACCACTCTTCTTTACAGTCACCATTACAATTGAACAGTGGGCAAACAACAACGAAGGGACGAGTTAAAATGATACATTTTATTGCCAAGTAGCATTTAGGCTGACATAGTAAAGGGTTTTTCAGATAACCAAAATGTACATTTCTATTCAGATAATCACCTCTCCTGTACTTCTGAACCCCAAGAAGGTACCAGATAATCCTTACTCTCCACTTCCTGGGGAGTCCCTCTTTACTTGCTTCATTCTCCTTACAGCATTCATTTAAAATCACTTCAAATCCAGGAAATCACACCTCATATTTCAAAATTTGAGGACAAGGACTCCCCAAACTTCCATTTAAATCTTTATTGTTTCTCTGTGATATCTCAGTCTTCCAACTTTGAAATACCAAGACAAAGCTTGCAAACAATTCCAAAGCACTGAACTTTCAACTTAGATTTATTTCAGGTTTATAAAGAAAGAAATTTTATACCAGTAACTTGAAAAAATCAAGTCAAATATAAAACTTTCAACAAATAACTTAAGAATAAGTGTTTTACAACAATTTTACTTTGCTCATTTCATTATGCGGCAGATACTGTACAAAACTGCCACAGAAACAGTGGTATTGAAGTCTACTTACGCATCTTACACAATTTTAGGTTAAACCCAAGCACTGAATATTCAGAGCACTTTAAACATGTTAAACAATATAGATAGGTAATAGCACAGCCCAAATGCCAAAGTATCTGCCTATTTTATACACAATTTTAAAAGCACTTCATGAAGTTGCATGAATTCCAACTGACAACACATAAGTTATTTCAAAAGATGCTTATTGCAGAGTACTTTTTTCAAATAACTTTACAAGAGAAAATATTATTCTTAGGGCTGTGGAAAATGACTAGCATATCGAAACTTAAGTCTTGGTTCCAGTGATGTCAATAGGATTTTTGCCACTCACTTCACTGATGCAAAGATTTCTTTTATCCACTCATTTTTCTATTAGATAAAAGGTGCAAAGTCCAGTTCAGATTTACAAAGTAGCTATTTGAAAAATATTTCCATGAGGCACACGTGCAATATGAAGATGAGTTATCACAGATATCAAAACTACAGCCTTTAGTACTATTCCATACGAAAGTCAAAGATACATTGCAGCAAAAGCAAACCAGAACAGAGAGGAGAGCACCACTGTTAAACTTTGCTGAGTTCCTTCTTAAGGCTATGTAACTGTATTCTGGGAAGAAAGACACCAATACATTCTTTTTGGCATTACTTTCCTGGGTAAATGTATGGTATCATGTTTTTAACCAAGTTATTAAAATGCATTTCAAAATAAATGTTTCTGTACATGTGACTTGCTTCATAACCACAGATATGCTCCAAAAGCCATGATTTAGAGATGTATAACATACAGATCTATAAAAATGTTTTAACATTCATGTAGTTAAGAGGTTTAGTGAAGAGAATTATGACTTCTCAGTATGAACAGATTCAGTAATAATTATTAGTCTCATCTTGAGAAGCTGAAGATTACCTGGGTTTTCTTATTAAAAGCAGTGGCAGAATATTTGATTGCTGAAGTGCACCAAGGTTCACATTTTTATGTTAAAGCCATAACGTGATAAAAATTCCAAAAAGCAGAGCTAAATATAATGCTATTAAAACCTTTCAAGTTTTAAATTTCAAATCAGAGGTGCAGATGTGAAGTTTTAGCTATATCCATGTGAAACTGTGTGAAAAGTTAATAGGCTTCAGCCTTACTCTATTTATTACAAACAAAGTGACTTTGTAATTTTTCTGTTTGTTTTCTGTAATGTTAGGTCTACCTGTGGTGTACCAACTGCGTGTGCTCCAGTGTATGTGCATCTAACTTCATACTCTCAGCTCGCAAGATGTGTGTGCCAGCTCCTGTCCAGAACCTACCTTTGCAGTATAACTATGTACATTCTCCCTAACAGGTGTTACTAGCTTGAAAACAGTGCTATATTAATGTAGCTCTGAGTTTCAAAACCAGAATTAGCCTTTGTCTGGCCACATGAGCTGGCACTTGTCTGCAAGCACTGGAATAGATACATGCCTCACAATAAGGGGATTGAAGAAATACATTACTGGAAAGATGCCGAGCAACTTCCTTCTTCAGCTGAACTTAGCAAAGCAGTATGCCTTGTAGAATCAAACATTAATTTGCTTAAGAAATTAAGGGCAATATAAGCTATGTTAATTTATTTTTCATTTCTGTTCACAAAATATTAGACAAAAAAGGTTAAATCAATTTAAACCACTACATGCAAATTAAAAGCCTGAAGACTCTTGAGGGTTGAGAATCCTTCTGGTAACTGTTTTACCTGAAGCATATGCATTTCAAATGTTTAGAAACATGTAAGGCTGCATTTTTTTTTAACATGGAATAATAAGCTCCTACAAAAATAGGCAATTACAGTATGCTTTTTAATTTAAAAACATTTTGGAGGACAGATATGGTTTGTGAGTTTACTCCTCATTCTTTCGTGTTTCACAAGCTGTTCAAGATGAAACGTAGCCACAGAATGCTTCACAGTTAAGGCTCAGGGTCATGTGATAACTATAAGTGAATCTAAGCATGGATAACTGCCTTCCATTTTCTTGGCAACAAATCTCACACTACACCATAGTGAGCTGGCTGAAAAACTAAATCAACAACAGATGACGAGTCTTTTGCTAGATCTGTTTCTTCATTATGCTAAGCCCCTTTTAGCAGCAGCCTCTGATGCTGTACAGGGGACTCACCTCTAGTGCTACATGTAGCCAGCCACAAGGAACAAGAAACAAGAGTGCATCCATGTCAGAGTTACTGAAGTTATTAACTCAAAAAATCTTTTCCTCAAGTGAACAGATACTACTCAAATTCAGAGCTGTGCCACCTCTTCTGATCAGACCTACAATCTCCTCTCCCAGAGAGCTATTCACCTATCTTAACTCATCATCTGGAAACAATTCACCATCTATGAGACCACTTTGGTGTCTCTCACTGTTTAAACCATCACCCCATTTTGTTTACAGCATTTCCCATAAAACAAAGATCTTCCATTACCAAACAGTTTAGACAGATGGTCTTATAAATTTTACAAATATTGTTCCAAATTCGTAACATAAACCAATCTTCACACATTCACCTTAAGCTTGCACAGCACAGAAAAAGATTATAAACCCCCAATAAAACCATGCAAAAAAAACCCCCAGAAGACCATCAAGCTAACATATCTAAATACAAATTAAACCAAACAGAACACCAAAATAATACATAAAGTCTCATTTTGTTCAAGATCTTCAATAATGAAGTATTAATAATTTTCTTGTATTGGTTTTTTTTGGGGTGGGGTTTTTTTGTTTTGGTTTTTTTTTGGATTTTGTGTGTGGGTTTTTTGTTGGGTTTTTTTGCCTTTTTTTTTTTTTAAAAACACATCAAATTTAAGATAAAGCAAAATAAGTCGTAATTCTCCACCTTCCCCAAATCCTGGTTCTTCAGATACCAAAGGAAGTCTGTGCTCTTAATGGGCATTTAGTGTATATATTCATACTTAGACTAAATTTTATATTTCCTTCCATGCAGAAGAGTAACTCAAATTCCCAAATTTACCACATTAACACAAAAATGAATTAATAAAATATGAAAACACTTTAAGAATATTCCCATCATTGTTTTTAACACAGATTATTTCTGGTCCATTTTATGTCGTGTGAGATATGTCAAAATAAATCTTTGAGATATATTATTGTTCTTACTACACCCAAAAATATATTTGATTACCAGTTCTCTCACTTTAAAGGCATCAATGGAAATTTACATAATTCTGACAGCACATTAGATAAAAAATTGCACCAAACCCAGGTTTAAAAAGCTATACTGTTACATAAACTGTAAAAATGCATAACTTTTTAAAGTATCACAATCAATCTAACTTTAGATGTTAAATCATGAATATGCTGAACAACTGATCATTTGACAGATAACCAAAAAGCGCCTCACACAGTAACTTAGTATCTTCACCTCTAAGCTTCTATATCATAATTCTACATCAATCACTTCAGTCCTGGACATCAAAGTAGTCAATTACTGGCTCTTCTTTTAATGGTTTGGATAAACCACTGTTGCCACTACTCCTGAAATTATAAGAATATTAGCTGTTACTCACCCGCATGAAAAACAATATACAAAGTAAACTGAAATCAGAAACTCCCATAATGTCTCAGTGTGCACATGCACACTGCATTGGTAAATGGTATGCATTTCTACATTATGTTTTAATGGAAATACCTTAATGCTCCAGAAAGCTTCTGTTAACTGATTTTTGGGAAAAACATATACCTTGTTAAATTAATGTACATCTATGTGTGGCTGAATTGATACAATTTGTTTTGGGGTTTTACCAGAAAATACCATTTACTGGCAATATGTATTACAAAAATGATACTGTACTGAAGACTTAATGTTCAACATGCCTTTTTAAATGAAAGAGCAAAAGATATACTGTTGAAGTGAGTTGATGATCAAATCTGCTCACTTTTAAAAGCAAGAACAACAAAAAAATACATGGTAATACCAAATCCAAATACTGTAAAGATTTTTTCAGTAAGACAGTATGAGATATTCCAGAAGATTTTGTAGAATTAAGCACTTCTAAAGACATTTCACTTCTAGTAATTAACAACAAATGGCTAAAGCCCTTTTTTTATTTAATTTTGCCACATAGCCCCCTTTCATTAGGGTCACTGAAGACAGGACTCCCACAGAAGTAAGTGGAAATAGAGAGTAACAACCTTTTTAAAATTCACATTGAGTTACACCATAAGCAGTCATTTTAGACACGTGTTTTGTTCTAGATGCTTCTGAAACAATTTGTATTTTCTCAGAACAGCCTACTTTGTATTCCAGCAGTACCTTAAACACCCAATAGCTACTGCAATAGTTACTGCAAAATTAAGCTGTCCCTTTCTGCAAATGGTACTTCACAGAACATTTCAAATGCTAATTTGGAAATAACTTGGGGGTTAAAAGTTCTGAGAAGTGAACCTGAACAAAGAATAAGCCATCCATTAAAAAAATTCATAACTATGAAATGACTACAGGTACCTGAAGCTGGCAGGTCATACAAAGTAAAGACTGTTCTATTAGACTATTCACGAAGAAGCCTTATATATTGCATCTTCAGTAGCTTTCACTATCTGAGAAAAATGGTAGTTCACCTTTAGCCAACTGTGTAGTCATATCTACACAAGAAAAATACATTTACTACCTGTCCAAATAAATCATTTTATGCCAGTAAGACATTATTCTCTTACACAGAACAGTTAAAGGTAAAAAAAAAATCCCCCAAACTCCGAAACAGCCATCTCTTCCCAACTATCTAATCTTTATTTAAAAAAAAAAAAATCCACAATATTTGCTATATTACTACTCCTACACCACATAGTCAATTCTACATTGTCTTAGCACTTCATTTCAGGTTTACTTCTGTGGAAAGAAAATCTTAGTGCAGGCTGCAAGCTCCAAAGCTGCGTGTGGGTTGGGAAAACAAAGAAACAGGAAGTATGAAGTTGAAGCTCAGGAACACTCTCAGGTAACTCAGCACTAGATTGAAGAATACTGTTTTAAAAACAAATTCCTTACTTATCTGTTTGTTTGTAATGAGGAATAGGAGGTGGAGGCCTGCTCTGCATTTCTTTATCTAGCACAGAAGTTAAGGTATTGCTTGGACAAATGGATTTCCCTCTAGAGAAATAAAAGAAAGGTTATTTAATTCAATAGGAAATTATATTCATTAAGAAGTTAGGGCAAAAGAGTTACATTTTTAAGTAGCAGTTCTGGTATCAGAGAGTTCATACTTGTATACTTAAATCACCTATTCAAATATTTAATTTTCCAACCACGGAGATCAATAGTGTGCAAAGTCCATTTTCATTACCAAGGACAAGATATCTAGTATTCCAAATGTCTCTTGATCACTGTCTATAAAAGATGCAGAAGCAGCTTACTAGGTTTGAGTGTTGGTGCCCAGACTCCTTCCTTTCTGCAAGTGAAGTGCACAACATGATTAACTGTTAAAATACCAAAAATGCAACACTTGCATTGTAGGACAACATATATCTGTTCTTTCACAGAACAGATGTAAGATCAGAAGCAACAACTTCATAACTTAACTCGGCATCATGTGAACACAGTTCACTGCATCTTCAAAACATGTTACAATGTTTTGGAAACATGTTCTTAAACTCTGGCAGTAAGTCATGTTAAACTTGTTTATCACTCTGCACTCAAAGTAGCCCTGCTAAGCAACACTCTCCCAGGAACAATGCAGCAACACTGCCTCTTCCTTGTCAGCTAGCCCAGGTGAACAAGATCAGAAAAATAACATTATGCATTAGGGGGTAGGGGGAAAGAAAAAAAAAAATCAGCTCTTCCTGCCTTCCACACTAGTTACAATCTATTATGTGATCACAACCATACAATGAAGGATCCCACTTGTGCTTGTCCTATCTGCAACGCAAGGGCCACTGTGGCTGTGGTGCAGGGCAGTATTTTCTCCAATACAGGAGGACAGTATACTTCAGCATGTATATTTATACGCTTTAGGCATATATTGGCTGTGAATCACACTCAACTTCAGTATGGCAGTCCGTGCCCAAATGCTGCACTGGCTGGAGAAAGAGGAAGGATATTACAAAAACAAAAACAAACAAAAAAAAAACCCCACCACAAAAAAAAACAGAAAAAAAAAACCTAGAAAGATTGTTCCAAAAGGCATCTAATGAAAAAAAAAAAAATCCAAATAATTACCAAACACACTATATCTGTAATAGGCTTAAAATTTCCTATAAATTCATGAGCCACTTTCAAGAGTGAGCTTGCTTTATTTTAACTTCCAGGTCACTGTTATGATTTAACTGCAAGACTGAAAAATCTTCCACTATCAACATCTTTTCCATTCACAGTTTCTTTTTCATCTTTTCTGGGGGCGAATAAGCTGAATAAATTAAAATTCTTAAATCCTGTCAATTTCTTACCCTTCTTGTACTTTCCTCTAAACCCCTGCTACTGACATTTTAAGAGCAAACTACTTCTGGTACACTAAACTGGATTGCTTTCCTATTTCTATCTGAATGATTTATATTGGATATTAGGAAAAATTTCTTCACTGAAAGAAGTTGTCAAGCATTGGAACAGGCTGCCCAGGGAAGTGGTTGAGTCACCATCTCTGGAGGTATTTAAAAGACGTGTAGATGTGGTGCTTAGTGTCATGGTTTAGTGGTAGACTTGGTAGTGTTAGGTTAATGGTTGGACTCAATGATCTTAAGGCTCTTTTGCAACCTAAATGATTCTATGGCTCTATGTCAATCATCAAAAAATGTTTCCTCCTGGTTTATTTTATTCATGAATTTTTAAATAGACTCCTCCCAGAGCAGAATCCTCTAGACCATGCGATTCTCTGTTTAATAATCACATTAAATTCCCACTTACAAGTTTATCTTGTTCCTTTCAAAATTACATTTCAAGTAGCAAAAAGTGCTGCAAAACAATGGCTTGTGTATTGTTATAATTCCAGAAATGTGCATGTGTTAAGAGTTCCATGCTTTGTCACATATTTGGTAATTCATATTTTTTCCCCACCTCCCTCAGAGTTCTACGCAGTTGAAATCTCACATCAGTACACAGATGAACACTAGTTCTATTTCAGAGCTTAAAAAAATTAAGTATTTGTCTTATTTCCATCATGTCTTGTTTTCCATCAGTTCTGAAAATGTAATGGCCAATTCCTGTGATATTGTGGCAACACAGATAAAAAAAACTCGACAACATTCTCAAGGTAAGTCAGAAGTCCACTAAAATATGAAGTGATGATCCCTGACCCCATTTCACTATTGTTTTAAACTGAGTACTGCTAGTCTGTTCAAATGAACTGCAAAATCTTGCAAATGTAGGTCACCAATTCAAAAAGTGTCCCCATCTCCCCAACACTGAAAGTCTTCATTATTTGAAAAAAAAGTTACTTGCCACTGACCATAATTTTTTCCAGATTATATTACGTTTACACGTACATTCTAACAGCAAGTATATTAGTGTCCTATCAGCTGAGAACAGCTAATTTTCCCCTCTTGTATAAAATGGGTAAAAAAATCCTTTAGCTTCAAGCCTGGCATATAAAGCCAAATGCTCCACTATCATTTCAGTCACCTCTCAACTGTAGAGCTCTACCTGAAAAGACTAAAAGAGGACAAAGATAGATGGGAGAATATAATAAACTGTGGTGTGCAAAAACATGGAAACCCAATTGACTGGAGGTAAATAGGCAAAAAAAAGAAAAGCTAGAAAGGCCTTCACCAAGTAAAGTAAGGTGTCTGTTTTTATTCTAAAACCTCAGGCTAAATCTTGCTTGTGTAGTAAAAAAAAAAGAAAATAAATGAGAGTTCTGAAATGCAGGAAAACAGAACACTTGGAAGAATACATGTGCATTTATTTCTACAATTAGCTAAAAAAATCCTACTAGAAAACAGAACGTTCCCGCATTGCAAGAAAGTAAATACAGCAGCTCTGCTCTGAAGTGAAATGTTCCCAGATGTAGAGGGTTAATATATCAAGCCTTTAAAAATGAGGCGCGATTAAAGCCTTGTGGACAGTTAGAGGAGATCCTGGAACCAAATTTGCTTTGGTCACATCAAGGCTTAGCCCTGTTTTTGCTTTGACAAGATTGAGTGTCCCTCCAAAAAAAAAAGCAGAAGAGAGATGCAGCTGACTGTCCAGCCATGTAATCACAGAGGCTTTGGAGACAAAAAAATCTATCAACTCACACTCAAGCAAAATGTACACCACTTCCTGTATACCTTGGTGACACACAGGACAATAGTAGACTGACTCCAACCTCCCCAAATTTCTGTGAATATTTCTATTCACTGGTTTAAAACAACAAAACAAAACAAAAAAAAACCCCAAAACCACGAAACAGCCAATCATATTCAGCTCATCTGGAAGAAAACCAAACAACTGAATTCAACTAAATAGGTGTACAATGGAAAAAAAACCTTGACTAATTAATTGCCAGAAAGGAGAAAGCAAGCAGATCCTCCCTTCCTGCTAACATAAATCATGGTTATCTATCATCAGTTGTAATAGAACTGTGGAGATGGAACCAAAAGGCTTTGCAAGTACTTTGGACATTTTGATATGAAAGTTGCCATTCTTCACTCTATTAACTTATTCTCAAAGTAAGGAAAAAAAGACAACTGCCTGCCCCAAGCAACAACGATGAGATGACAAATTTTTAGCAGCACTCCAGGGAAAAGCAAGGAGAACACAACTAACTACCTGTTGACTATAAGGCACTGGTAGTGCTGACAGGATGGCCTGTTGTATAAAACCGAACTGTGGAAATCAGGACTCAAACTTATCTTCTCCTTAAAGACTGGAAGTTCAATTTTCGTAACTCCAGGATGGATCAGCGTTGATCTGTTTTGGTATGAACTACTATAAAATTCTTTGTGCACTAATCTGTCCAGAAATGACTCCATGTAGCCTTGCAATAATGATCCACCAGCTTTCAGGCAGAGCAGGTTTTTTGTGAGAAGTGTCTCCAAAAGCTGATACAGTTTGGGTGGAATAATGAAGCAAGTGGCTCTCAAACAATCTCCTGATTGTCTAGACTTCACATATCCTATGTCATAAGCTGTCAAGAGGCAAAAAATATTCTCAGGGCAAACGATGTCAAGATTGAAGTAAAAATATTAAGAAAGAGATGTAGCTCTTTTCTGGAGCAGGACTGCTGTTGAAACCACCTTGGCTGGTGACCTGTAGCATTGTGCTTAAATTGCTCAAAAAGCCTTAGAGACTAGAGGTATTGAGATGCAGTCATTTGAAAAGGCCTTTGTGATTGCAAAGGGGGGTGGGGAGAAAGTTAGCTTTTTCCTCATGGCAGAGGAGAAAATTCCTAGAGAGTGAAGGGTAGAATAAAAGTCCTTAAAGCGACAGAGTACCTTCAGGAAGTCATCAGAACTTCTGTCAAATTGGAAGTGAAGTTATTCCAGATACCAAAAAGGCTGCAGAGACAGCTGACTTATTAAGTAAAATGAACTTGTACCTGGAGATCAAGTACTGAAATGTGTCCAGAAAAACTTAAAGCAGCCAAAGAATAATTCTGTTTCCTCCGAGTGTATAATTTCCTTTCAACCCTGCCACTGGGATGTACAGTTTTTGCCTTCTGTGATGCCACTGCCATGATCTGATAAGGGTGTTCCATGTAGTTACAGGGATTTTAATTTCTTTAGGTCTTTGTCCTGCTGGTCTTGTGTAGCCTGCAGCTAGGTAACCACTCCTGAACTGTCTCTAGGCTGACCTCATTGAAAAGAAACAAAATCCTGGGTGAAGAAGAATAATAGAGAACACATCAATGAGACTGTGGCAGGATGTATTTTTGTCAGTGAGAACGATGTGCAGGGACCCTGTCATATTCCTGAAAAGTCCCCTTGTTCGTGAGGAAAGACTGATCCTATTGTTCTTCCAGAAAGGAACAGGAAAAGGATGGGTCTTACAGGGATGACTGTTCTCAAAAACACTTCCAGGATGTCTCAAGTCTGTACAAGCTGCTTAAACACTGGTCAGTACATAACAACAAGCAGACACCTCTTAACAGGCTCTGGCATCCAGAGTTACTCAGAGGAGGAGGAAATTCATGAGTGAAAGACTTCAAGAAACCACTGACAGGTACAGTGATGCACATGTGTCAACTTGGAGAGGAAAGCCCTCCCCTTTTCACCATAACAGTCTGGACATTACCTTTGAACCTGGTTCAGAAGGAATCTGGTATTGCAACTGCTCAAAAGATGACTGCAAAGATGATCAACAGGGAAGCACAGAGAAGGGCGCTTGCAAGGATTCACTCGGGGTCTTACACTTCAAACGACACCAGAACTGTAATTCAGATCAACGTTGACAGTCAGTACTGGGAATGCTCTCTATGTGGTTAGACATTCGCAATACTGTACATCAGTGATTCTAATGCAGCTAATATGGCCAACTCTTACTGATGTGGTGGAATGATGATGGGGGCAGGGGCTGAGGGCAAAGCAGATCTGTGGTGTTTGCTCCTAGATATCTGGAAGAGGAAGAAGTCCAGTTGGAGGAAGCTTTCTTAGCACGAAGGAGACTTTCTCACTCCTCTGACCAACCTGTATGGCAATGTTACCATTTCAATGACACAATGGGGGAGTGTGGAGAAGAATGGTCTCTTTGCCTAGCATCACTTTGAATTATCTATACGCAGAGGAGCCCATAATAACAATCTGTGGGGAATGCCAAGAACAGGATGAAACAAAATTAATCAAACCACTTGGACTTTCTGGTGACTACTAGCCCCTGGACTTGAAGAAGCTGTTGTGAAATACTCAAAAATATCACCCTGGAACTTGAGCTATCATTTGTCTGAGGCGTCAATGTTTTTTGTCTTGAAGAAGTGGCAAATAAAAAGACAATTAAAAGAAGCTTTGGATGAATCCACTGAAATAAGAAACATTGCTATGCAGCTGAAGAACATTCTTAGTAGACCACTCGTGTCTGTAAGAGTGGCAGAGATGAAATAGCAGCATGTGCGTTCTGCACAGTACGCTGTTCCCTGAACAACACAAGGGAAGGAGCAAGTGTGCAATCTCTCCTAAAACCACAGAGGAAGGCCTCCCATTCTCAAGTTGCAGGATATGTCCTTGTTTTTAAAGCATAGTCATCTGTCCTGCCTCTTTCTCTGACTCTTCCCAAATTTCTCATCCTGCCCCCCCTAACTATTTCTTTTTCTTAAATAAGCTTTTTCAAATATGATCTCTTTTCTCACCTTTCTTTACTAGAAACAAAGACTATCTTAAATCGTTTCACGGAAACAGAAAGGGATATCAAAGTGGTGTTCCATCTCTCTTGGAAGAAATCAAGATTGTAGTTAAGCTACCAACCCATGAACAGGCTCAGAAGCAGCTCATGGCACTCTAGCAGCACGGAAGGTGACAGGTTTTTTTTATAACTACAGTCAAAAACAACTGGTTGTCAAAGAACAACAATTTGACAGTGCTAAACTAAATAGGCGGCTCAGTGAGCAGCAGAATCAAGGAAGCCTTGATAGCCGATTTGGGAAGCCTTCCCATACTCCTCTCCAGTGCAATCACCTTGCTTTTCCCACAGCTATATTCCCTTCATTTCCTTTTCTAATATGAACTGCCTTCTGTGGGTCTTTTCCAAATATTTCCATTTTTGCTCAGAAATCTCTTCAATTTGCAGTAATTTCAGCTCCCTCTTTGTCCATCAACTAAAGAAGGAGTATACTCTGTGGCAGGTTATGATAGATGGAGAACAAGTAAGTTCCTTCAAAGAAGGTGCAAATTTAGGTATGACTTCTCAATCCAACAATTAATTTTCATGAAATTTTATAACATTTCTTATCTTTGATACCTCTACCAGCTATATTGCTGGTGGCAAAAAGATAAAAAGTTACTGCTAAATGAATGCAAAACAGCCTTGCAAAATCTTTTCTTAGCTTTTTTATTTCTAATTGAGTTTTCTTCTCTGAAGATTTACTTGACTAGTGGAAATAGAAGCCTATGAAATTACAAATTTAAGAACTGCTTTAAAAAAATTTCTACTGGAAGTTACTGCAAGTTGCAAATTGCATTGTAAATAAACTCATTCGAGTAAGTGACAAAAACATCCAATGATTTAAACTATAGTTAATAGATTTGAAAACAATAATGAGTTACGTACTTCACTGCAGTGATAACAACGTTACGCTTTGGTTCGTTGTCATAGCTCACACTTTCAATGCCATAAACCTGAGCTAATTCATGGATGATTCTGCGGTGATCTCTGTTCATTGGTGGGTAACAATGGCTCTTCTTTGTATGCTTGCCCTGAATTCAAGAGAAAAGTTTAAAAAAAAAAAGAAAAAAAAAACATAAAGTTTTCCTTTGGATGGGTCAGGGGGAAGAAAGAAAGAAAAAAGAAAGTGCTTCTACCTCTAAAACTTTGCCGCCAGGACAAAATTAGTACCACAAATTGCTAATACCTCAGTATAGACAGAAAACTCATACGAAAATGTCCATTTATTTCCCAAAAATTAAATTACGTGTTCTCCATTGTTTCCATCACCTCAAAGAATATACACACACACATACATATGTATCTTTTAAGTTTGGAATACAAATCCTGAATGTATCCATTCTACTTACATCCCAAAGAAGCAGAATAAAATTATTTTTTCTGAATTTTTATTTTTCAGAATGATCTGCCAATTTTGAATCAGATCTAATTTCATTTTTCAGACTGGCTTTACAATGCATGTATTGCAGATAACTACGAAGGTGTGAGATTTATCACTTCCCTCTACCAAAGAAGCTATTTATCTGCAAAATCTGCCATGTAATGGCATCAATAGACTTTTTATTAAATAAAAACAAAATTGTAGTTTTAATTTCAGCTAGCAAAGACTGATAATGCTTGATTTGACACTGATTGCTATATAGACAGTAAAAGAACAAACAAAAAAGCAGGGCCCTGTAAGCCCTGTCCTAATAGGTTGGGTGACTTTGTAACAGCAAATGCAGATGAGGATGACACACTCAGTGCTTCAGTCTGCTTCAGGGACTCAAGACACTGCTTCAGCTTTTGCCTTTGTTGTCCCCAACAAAGTCTTCTAGGTCTTTGGGTATACAGACAGGGTTCCAGGAGAAGACAAACTACCAGTAGTAGAATAAGATTGAGTCAGGGATTTCTAGAGAAATCCCAACCTATACAAATTCATGGGACTGCAGGCAGTGCATTTAAGGGCGCTGAGAGACCAGGATGATGTCCCACTCTCTGTCATCTCTGAAAGATTGTAGAGAATGGGATAGGAACCCAATGACTAGAGAAAGGTAATTGTTGCAACTATGTTCAAAAAAAAAAAGAAAAACAACCTATGAACTATGGGTTGGTCAGCTACACTTCAAAGCCTGGGGAAAAATCATAGAGCAAGTCCTTTTGGAAGCCATTTTTAGGTACATGAAGGAGAAGGTCCCTGGGAGTAGTCAATGTGGATTTACAAAAGGTCGATCACCTAAATTAATGTAAAGAAGACCACATGTAATAGAGCAAGATACACATCAGAGCTACATTGTAGCTACCGTGTAAATGGAGGATTAACATCTGTCTCCTCTTAGATTGTAAAACAGCTAAGTTATGAACAGTAACTGGACCAGAAACTGTGGTCAATCATTTCCATAAGTCTTCAGGGTAATCACATGCTGTCAAGATACAATCTTTACTTAATAATAAACAGTAATAAACCTCCCACCTATTACAACACTTCCAGCATATAGACAAGCATTTGAATGAAGAAAATGCTACAGATTCTGTACCTATTTATGATGACTAGTAACGCTTGCTTTAAAAAAGTGGTGATGGTTCCACGCTCAGAAAAACATCAGAATTTCTGTCCATACACAGACAGAGCTGGATGATATAAATGTTTCCTGTCTTGCCTGCTTACATATATCAACCATGACAACTCTGCTATGCTAGATGAGTACATACTGATAAGTCTAGGGGAACAGATGTTCATGAGGCAAGCAAAGTCATATAATGATAGATACAGCTGAACCATATTAATGCTAAAACTTGTAAGTATAAAAATCCTTCTTATTACTCATTTATTCAGTCAACCTGAAGTTGGTATCTCCAAAGGCACAGTGCAAAAAATAAAAAAGTCAAAGTGAAACGTGTAGGCATAAGTAACAGTAATCAGTATGAAAGACATAGTACTGATATAGGCAGAGGTACCTGAATGCTTGATAGACTAGCATGCAAAATATTTTTAATACAAGTAAGCAAAGCTCTACATCTAGAAACAAAGAAAATAAGCCACATCTTTAGTCAGAAAGGATTTAGGAGTCATGATAAACAAACTGAACACAGACTCAAGCATAAGGAGGACTTAGGGATCATGGCAGAAGAACAACAACTATAAACAGTCTCCTTGCACAATGCCAGGTCTAACATATTAATGCAATCTTTGGCTACATAAAAAGGGGGAGTTGACTTGGTCAGGTTGGACACAGGCCTGAATGAGCAACACTGATAACACTTACCAGGTACAGAGACATGCCCAAGACAACAAAAATACCTGTGGGTTGCAATATGAAACATGACTCTTAGAAGGGAGAAAATAAAGCCTCTGAGACTTCCAGAAATAAAAAGCAAAGGTGTGCAAGAAGAATAATTGAGTAGAAGAGCAGGTTAACTTTACAGTGCAAGGGACATGTTCCCTTTTACACCATACACTCCACCATTTTGAAGGAAAAGAAAGTCAAGAGCATGGCCTCCACACATGCTGTCACTCCTATCTTCAAGATGGGCAAGGAGGACACACGGAGCTACAGGCTGGTCAGCCTCACCTCGATCCCTGGGAAAGTGACGGAGCAGCTCATTCTGGAATGCATTTCGAGGTACATGGAGGACAAGAAACTCCTCAGGAGTAGTCAGCATGGCTTCACCAAGGCTTCACCAACTTGATAAACTTCTACAATGAACTGATGTGCCTGGTAGATGAAGGGAGAGCAGTGGCTAGTGTCTGCCAGGCCTTCATTAAGGCCTCTGACACTGTCTCCCATAAAAGGCTCATAGCCCCTTAAGCTGTTGCTGTAGGGGCTGGATGAGCAGACAGTGAGGTGGATTGAAAACTGGCTGAATGGACAGGCCCTGAGGGTGGTGATGAGCAGCACAAAGTCTAGTTGGAGGCCGGTAACTAGCAGTGTACCCTGGGGAGAAAGGAGGGGAGCCACATACTCGGTCCAGTCCTGTTTAGTATCTTCATGATGTTCATTTCATGTTCTTTATTAGTGATTTGGATGATGGGACAGAGTGTACCCTCAGCAAGTTTGCCAATGACACAAAATTGGGAGGAATGGCTGATAAGCCAGAGGGGCATGCTGCCATCCAGTGCGAGCTTGACAGGCTGAAGAAATGGGCTGCACCTGCATCTGATGAGGAAGAACCCTACACCCCAGTATATGCTGGGGGACACCCAGACAGAAAGCAGCTTGGCAGAAAAGGACTTGGGGGTCCTGGTGGACACCAAGTTGAATATGAGCCAGTGATGTGCCCATGAGGCAAAGAAGGCTGCTGGTATCCTGGGCTGCATTAGGCAAAGTATTGCCAGCCGGCTGATCCTTCCCGTCTACTCAGCACTGGTGAGGCCACACCTTGAGTACTGTGTCCAGTTCTGGGCTCCCTAGAGCCCAGAAGAGAGAGAGCTGGACATACTGGAGGATCAGTGAAGGGCCACAAACATGATTAAGGGACTGGAGCATCTCTCCATTGAGGAAAGGCTGAGAGAGCTGGGACTGTCTGGAGAAGAGAAGGCTCAGGGGTGATAGTACCAACATCTATGAATACTTGAAGGGAGGATGTAAAGATGGAGCCAGGCTCTTTTCCGTGGTGCCCAGTGACAAGACAAGAGACAACTGAAACACAGGAGGTTCCCTCTGAACATCAGGAAACACTCTTTTTTCGGTGAAGATGACTGAGTACTGGCCCAGGTTGCCAAGGGAGGTTGTGGCATCTCCATCCTTGCTGATACTCAAAAGCCGTCTAGACATGGTCCCAAGCAACTGGCTCTAGATGGCCCTGCTTGAGCAGGGGGGTTGTACAAGATGACCTCCACAGGACCCTTCCAACCTCAAACATTCCATGATTCTGTGAAACAACTACAACCTTGTGTGGCAGGGCAGAAGTCAATCTACTGCTACCAAATGGCTCACGTGCAGAAGCACAGGAAGTTTGTAAGCAATGTGAATAATGCAGACCTAGAATGGGCATCTAAACAGAAAACTGGTAATCAGGAATCTGAACATTTCAAGAAGGAATTTGACAGCCTTGTGAAAGTTAATATGTAACTAAATAGAGAATTTTTAGGGGCAGAACATTGAGATTGTCATGGAACTCCTCAGGTAACTGTTGGGTTTGCCTACTGAAGACTTCATAAAACAAGAATGATTTCTTATCTGCATTTGCATTATAATATATAGATACCAAGCTTCAAGGCTTGTGCCACTTGCCTTTGGTGTTCAGAAAGAAATCTCTTCCGCTTTGAAATATAGTTTGACTTCTGGGGACTTCTTGTACCTTATGGAATAGCAATTCCCAACAGCCTGAGGGGCAGGATGGTGCAGAACTGATCCTTGAGATACTGAATTGTAATGTAGACCTAACTGGTTGATCCTGATCATGAAGGTAAAAGCTTAAGTAACCATTGGGTAATTCTCCGTTTAGGTCAGACAGGGAAAACATTGTCACATCTGGTTTGTTTTCATTTTTTCATTCTCTTCTGCAGTGTAGATGCTCTTTAACAGACACCATTTCTGTGCTTTGTAGGATCATTATTTAACAGAGAGTTGGTTACTACTGAGAACTAAAGCACTGGAGATGCTCTTGAGCTCTCTGGTTCTCTTGTTCTGTCATATTTGATGTCACTAATTCATTGTATATTGCAAATTCAAGACCTGTGGTTGCCTTTTTTTTTAATATATATTACATATCTTGGTTCGATATATGCAGTTATCATATATATAGAAATATATATGTGTGTACACACTTGTGTACATATGTGTGTATAATAAAGGCAGTATATAAAGGTATATGTAAAATAGGATAACCACAGGCAACACAACATTGGGCAAATTATTTTTAGGTGATAACAACTGTTCTATGCATATATTACCAAGTGACTGAGGTTGGAGGGGCCTGAACATAATTAGACACAGATGGCCCCCTTTTAGACTTTCATTCCCATGTGTAAAACAATGGGCAAGAACATTAGACAAGTGGACAAGCACAAAGATTGTTTAAGAAACATTATACATAAAAAAGAAAGAATAAAGTTAAGTAACTGTCCTCAGGGGGTAGGAGGGAAGGAAATTAATGCTTTCTACAGAAGGTTAACTCTTTCTTGAGCTAACGGCAACTGAGGATAGTATGGTTTACACTGTCTTTTGAACCACATAATCTGGGTCAGGCATGGTGCAGCAGGAAGCCAGGAGTGTGCTAAGCTGACAGGCCTGAAGGCAGAATTCTGCTTTCACTGAAAAAACTGTGATTGTGTCCATGGTATCAACTTCTCTAGGTATACAGGAGTCTGCCAAACAACTGTGGCTGAATCCGAGTCTCCTTAAAGAAGAAGGACGACTACCTCACACACTGGCAAATGCAGGAAGGCACAGGGATCAGAATAATCTAGGCTTTCCTCCTCAAAGTCTGAACCTTTAAACGCCATCTTTGACGATTAATACTTTATTAATGGAGACCCAAAAATTAATGATAATCCAGTGATGCATTAAAGCCTAGCACTGGTTGAATCTTTAAACAAAGCTTGGCTGTCACCAAAGTGATCCTGAACTACTGTGTTTCCTAAAAATTTTGTTCTATTTATAATTAAAATGTGCACTTTATTGGAGCCCAAACAGACCTAGTGTCAACTCGTAACTATTAGTATTAACAAAGTTTAGTAACATCAAACTCCCCCCAAACTAGGCAAAATTGTTTCTTATAATAAGTCATACAGAATATCTGAACACTGACCTTATTTACAGCTTCCACAAGCATTCTCATTTCCTTCTCAATGTCACTGACAAATTTTAAATCCTTCCTGCAAGAACAGCATTCTAGGTAAATGAGGCAAGAGAGCATACAAAGATACAGTATCTTCATCTTTTGTAAAATTATTTTCAACAAGAGCAAAATTAAAGAACCCAATTGACTGAAGCAGAAGCAGCAGTGAGAGCACATTCTGATTTATATATTACACTATTTACATTAAAAAAATGTTAGTATGTTATCACTATTACAAAAATAATGAATTATTTTCCCTTCAACCCTTGGAATGCAGCATAAAATTCTATGATACAACTCTACTGTCTGACAATACAATTCTACATTTTCAAATGGATAATGTACATTTCAAAGTTGCCATTTCAGTGTTTTTAAATTACGTGTCATTAAGGCAATTCACTTAATTAGAATACATGACTAGACACAAAAACGGGGATTGGGTAAACAGAATGGAGTTCTTTTCCAAGACAGAGGAAAAGTGCACTGACTTTGGTCTTCAACTCGTCTAGCATAACAAGTTAATAAGAACAAAAGAAGAAGCATAAGGCTACTTGCAAGCAAACAAAATGTTCCTGATATGAGATACTAAGGATTTTTAATTTTTTTTTTTTTTTTACCTTGTTTAATCACAGTAGGTCAAGTCTTTCACACGTAAGGGTGAGCTTTGTGTTCTGTTCTTATATAAGCAGGTAAACTAACTCCAAAAGTAAAGTTGTTATTTGTTAGGGCACCATCCCCATGGGGAAAAAAGGCTACCTTAAGATTCCATATCTCAAAGCTAGTTAGTAGTAAATAACCTTATTTCTTCAAAAATAGGCACTATTCCATACCAACACAACACCACTTTGTGAATGATGTCAGAATTTCATCAGTCAAGAAGTGCCTACCGAAGTAGGCACTACCATCTTTGGTAGTTGCCCTACCAAAGTTCTGGATGCTGAAGTGAATGTATCATCACAAGACCAAGTGGTCTCAAGCAAACGTGCAAAATGGCAACATTGAGTAGCTCGGATACCAACATCACTTGATCACTGGTACGATGGACTCAGCCCATCACTGGAAAACCTTCAAGGTTTTGTAACAGTGGACGGACATTGCATACAGTTATCAGAACTCCTGGATCTTCAGAGGAGAAAAGTATTACATTGGGAGAAATGTAAAAAGGATCTGAACCTGTAGCGTTAAAACGAAAGGGGCCTCCAGACACCTAGGCTATGAAATACAGAGTCTGCCCACACGGCACGAGGCTTTGGAAAGAATATTACAGCAATAATCTCAGGTTCAAAAAAAAAAAAAAAAAAAACAAACAACCAAAAAACCCCCCCAAAAAACCCCAACAAAAAACCCAACCAAAACCACTGATCCCTTCAGGATGAGCTAAACTCGAGAGTGTCAGAAAGCAAATGGAATGCCAGCGATGAATGCCCAAATTTCAAGGTGAAGCGATCACAGGAGGTAAGAAAAAAAATGGAACCAACAATCCAATGAGAGGGTCCACAAGCACCTGATGTGTAATATTTAAAAACCTATTGAGGAACCAGCTCACAGACTGGGGGATATGTTCAAAAAGTTAACTCTTCAGGAGCCTATAAAAACAGAGTTATCAGCTGGAAGTCACCAGTGCTATCGACCAGGTGGAAGTTCTTTCAGAAATACTTAGAATGTCTCTCAGCTTCAAGAAATCCCAAGATATTCAAGATTGAAGTACTCAAATAGGAAGACAAAACAGAAAGCATACTACGCTGGGCACAGGGCTGGGGTGGTGGTGGCGGCAGCAGAAATCAACTGATTAAGAGAATTATTTCCCTCTAGGAAAAGATGAGATGGATTGGAGTAGATGAACTGTACAGAAACTAATTTCATGGGCAACACCTAACATCCTTAGTTCCAATGACCCCCTAAAGAGTAGAAGCAGGACCTTACTCCCTTTTGCTTGTAACATACTACACAATGGCAGAGTTGTGACTACCCATATGTGTGTTCAAAGGTGAGGCAAGTGTTTTATGTGCCTTTGTACCTCCAGAATCTTTCATATAGAAGAACTTCATGGAAGAACAACCCTGAGCCACCTGATGATCTGAGCCCCAACCTACAGACTGTTCAGACAGTAACAACAAAGGACAGGCCAATGCAGATGGGGGAGAGACAGAACAATTGCTTTTTCTTTGGAAGCATCAAGAAGATTCTGAGGGAGCATAATTTGGGTTGAGGAATCTTCAAGGAAATGGTGGACTTCAATATTCCTTAATCTGAAAGTTTCCTTTGAAGGAGGTACTCTCAAACATCTGGATTGCCCTAGAGAGTTCTGGATGCATCAGTGAACAGCTGAGGCAATCCAATGGGAAGATGCATCTTCTGTATCTAGATGTTCAGAGTGAAGAACAATACTTCAGGCTGTTTACTCCTCTGCCACTAAGGCTGACAAAGCACAAGTAAGATTTTCTTTACAGTATCAAACTTCCCTTTGATATCACCAGATGAAACAGTAAAGAAAAAATAAAGCCTCTTTTCAACAGTGTGCAATCTTTCCTTTCCAAATTTGGGAGCAAACCTCATTAGATTGCCATAACATATGAGGAGGCGAGTGTCAGGTCAACATGCAAGGAAGTATACTCTTTATTCCTAGCTATACAGAAGCATGAACCCACACTTCACTGAAGGGCAAAAAGAAGCCTGCAGTTGCCAAGAAACATTGGCAAGCTCGACTGTTAGCAAAGGTCTTGAAAGGCCAAAGGTAACAGAAACTATCCATTAAAGACGGGGAAGAAAATGAAGCCTGTTGTAAATCAATTCACAAGAAGATGAAAAAACATCCTGCAGGTCCAGTAGTCTTCTCTGTATGATCCTGATCAGATATCTGGATGAGTAGGGACAGTAAGAACTAGCTACTGCTTATTTCTCACCTGTACTTGTCTCTGGTTCTAGTCTTGCAGTTGATTGTTTTGGTGCCTCATCAGCTTGCTCATATCCTGTTTGGGGAATTTCATTTGTGGTGGTCCTGAGCTAGAATTTGCTTCTATATTTACAAATTAACTAATGTACAATTCATACTGCCCTATCAAAACCAAATGGAGTGTCTCAATTTCCCAGGATATTGATGAGTATCTATTACCTGACTGAAGTATTTTCTCAAGTATTTTTAATTCTTTTGGGTTACTCATCTGAGCTTTTACAATAAGTTTTCCAAGTTTTGCCAAATGTGTTGGTTTATTGTTGTTTTATTTTAAAAGGAATATTGTTATTGCTTACTAGCACAGAAATCATGATTTGCACATGATTCTTTCAATTAAGCTATTTATGACTGGTTATGGCCAAACAACCAGCTAACTGTTCATTGTGAGCTCCTATGTTCTAACCTGCGATAGACACTTAATGAAAAATAACGTACAGTAAGGAAATGAAGTGGTTCTTAGAATAAACACATCTGATCTGACAGTGGGTATACTGAAATTCTGCAATGTGGGACTTGAAAGTCTCTTTTTCTGTGCAGTGCCTATAAATTGTGTATGTTAGGCTTCTCCTCACCTCCTTGCATTGCACGTAAGCAGGAGCAGGCCTACTGCCGTTTCAGTTCCTCTCAACCACACTACTTAATAAGAATGTTCTTCATTGCTTGGTTTTTCACTATAGTTCTTGCTGTGTATTTTTTCCTTGCCCAGATTTTGCTGCCTTTGCCAAAAACCTCCTTATTCTTGCAACACTTGCAAGTGCAAGATTTTGCCTCTAAGTGACTGACATTCCAGGCTTGCAGTTTGCCAGTCATGTGCCTGAGAAGCTGCCTTCAGTGCCCCTTCCTTCAGTTCTTGTTTAAGAAAGCTACAAAAGTCTCCTACCCCTAAACCTGTACACTGCTCCCGTTGCCAGATCACACACAGGAGTGCTTGGCTCTGCCTTCATTGTCTACAAGAACATGTGGAGGGTTAACTCTTGGGAAGACTGGCTAAGATGCCGCCTACAAAGGACCCATCTTGCTCTGTGTCTCTCTAGACTTAACCATTTGATCCGAGATTTCCCTGGTCCATACAGCTGCTGTGGGGTCTTACACAGCCAGTGACAAAATAAGAAAATTCTCTTCTGTTTAGCTCCATGTGGCCAGATATTCCGGATGTCCTCCCTTCCTTCTCCAGTAGTATTAATTCATCAAATAGCAGCCTTAGCACCATCCTTGTCAACATCCAACTTCATGTCAGTGGGCCAACTTGAGCATTTGCTTGCTCTCTGTGTCTATTTCTGGAGCCTCTTAGAAACGTCAGTGCTGAAGTGTCCACCCAGTGGACCTGTACCCCCTGATCTGTGCTCAGTTGTGCTGGTACAGTCATCTCCACACTAGATTCCCCTTGGCAGCAGGATATCTCCTCATGTAAAGCCATACGGTGTAGAGACTTTTCTTCTGACTCCTTGTCAGATTCTGACAAACACATTAGCAAGATCAGCATGCAGCAGCACTACCATGCTATTCCTGGTGCTCCCTTCTCCTGTCACTCTCCTACAAAGGAGACATATTATCTTGGCATGCTTCCACTTACTCATCTTCCTGTTACCTGGAGTTGTACTGCATCTTGGAGCTTTAGGGTTCTGTAATTACAGATTACAGCTCAAAATCAGGAGTTTTCTCACAGCTTTCTCAAGTTTTCTCATTTGTAGGTGTGCATTTTTTTCAGCCCTTGACAATGTATCAGCTTCACAGATCAATGGATTGCCTAAACAAGATAATATCACAGCATTCTACTCATGGTTTTGGTAGCTGCCTTCTTCTTGAGGCTAAATGCCCAGGAAGGTGGCTGTCGTATTTCTCATCATTCCGAGATCCCATACGTAGATGTATAACTTATGGTCTGCAGAAAACCACAAGCCCTGAACTCTTGCGTTACTGAAGTGACCTGCTCAAGCAAGAATAAATGCATCTGTCAAAACTTAAAGAGAATGCTGAGCTACCTGAAAAAAAATTACTGTAACAGATACATTTTGTAGATCCTGACATTATGAGGGAAATCCAGATCTTTTGCAAGACTGCTGAGATAAGAGATCACCAAGAACAGTCAAGGAAGTAAGTTCACAAAGCCATAGCTTTACAAATTGCAGCTTGCTGCTCATGTAAAGAGAGATATGCTAACACACGGAGAAAACTCACTTATCTTGAAGACTAGATAAATGAAATCCAGTAATTCAATGTGCAAAGTCATTGACCTGAGGACTAACAAAAACTTTTGCTTTAAGCTGTGGATCAGTAAGAATAGAATGGGTGTATTAGTTTATCATGAGTTACCAATATAAAGTGGCTACAAAGGAAATGCAAGTAAAATCACAGCATGACCGAGAAGAGGTATTTTCACAGAGAAGTGTGGGAGCATTAAGGTTACTTTTCAAGGTATTTGTTAGACCATCGGGAATACAGTGCATGATTTTTGTCAGTTCTGTTCATGAAAGATGAACACTGCACTATGGGTAGAGAATGGCTGACAGGAAAGTGAGATTGGATTGTACTCCAAAAAAAGAGAGGGGACTACACACAAAACACAAGATACTCAACACAGTAAGAAAGCAAAAATATATGCTTTGTTTTCTGAAAGAGCTAGAGCAAAACATATTCTACATACACGTAAAAGAATAGTCCTTATAAAATACCACTTTTAAGTACAAATACTAATAAAACAGTACCTCCACAATGAAAACATTCAGCTCTTATCCTGCAGCAGGCTAATCAGTTGGAAGTAAAGAGGTGATTTACTCTTAAATTCTATGTGGCTGTTTATGTAAAATATTCACTTGTCTCAATATATCAACACATTAAATAAAGGATTTTCAAGTAAAAAACATCTCCACAAAAATATGAAATTTATGTATGATTAGGATAGCAAAGCAAGAGCAAAACAGATTCAGCTGTTCTAAAAACTTAAGAGCTGGTAAAAACTAACAAACACACACACAAGAGTAAAAACTTCTTAGATGACACTTATCATTTAAGCATCTTTTTTAAAATGTGTCTGATCTCTCCCTATCATTCCAGATTGAGTAGTATTTATTAGTGTGATGTGTTTGATATTACCTTGACTTTCTATTGCATCATTTTCAGATGTTTCAGTCTAGCAGCCTCTTTGCAGTCAGCAATGGCATAGGCTTAGCTCTGCATCAATCAAGTGTTTTATTAATTCCATTTCTTTATTTTTAAAATAAAGGCAATAAGGCAAAAAAAAAATAAATGAGACTGGGGGAGGGAAATAATGTCAGGCTATGAGAGCATATTTCATTACTTAGCTATCACTTTTGTCTGTCTTGAAAAGTTTACAAAGAGCACTGAGATGGGGTTTGGTTGTGTATGAAAGCAGTGGAGATGTGAGAAGTACAGGTACTGATTTGTAATGAGAACGGTGGAAAATGATGTTCCCATTCTAAATCTGGTCCTGTTACAGAACAAAGCAATCCGTCAGGCACTTTTTACTTTTCAGGTTCCCATTTCGCAGGTCTTGAGAAGTGCACATCACCCCCTTTGCGTCAATTATCATCTATTGCCAAGGCTGGAGAGAAGAGTAAACACGGGCATTTTTACAAGAGTAAATAGAACTATTCTGCATTTCCCATCTTGCTCTCGACACTGTTTACCTATGACACCTGTCATCATTAGAACACATACCTCGCATCTTCTTTTAAAAGGTCACTGTACTTTGGTCCAGAAGAACGGACGTTAAAAGGATCAGAATTATCATCTATTTCAAGAGCCTCAGCAAGACGCCTAAATTTGAGGGTAGGAGGGAAAAACCAAAACATAACAAAAGCACAACCAAACAAAAATAAACACACAAATCCTCCCAGCCTCCCAAACATGTTGTCATTGAAGAGTAAAGATACGGGTTACTAATACAGATTAACAGCTTGCAAAAGATACAGTCTGTACATTTGAAACTACTCATTTAGGACTTTTCACTAGAATATTCTAGTATATGTCAGATCACTTAATATAGATGCCTATAACATAGGAATCATCTCCACATTTAGCCGTTCTCTAGGTCATGCAGGAAAGGATTTTTTTCTACACAGAATTAACTTTCTGAACCTGGACTTCTGAAAAAAAGCAAGCAAGTTCATTGCCCACCTGTTCCTCTGAAGAGCTAAGCATTCTTCATCACATTGTAACCTGAATTATGAAAGAAAAATACAATTAGAATCACTGCTACTACTCATACTTTTCAAACTGTAGCTTTGTTGGTGTCATATCATTATCACAGCCTAAAGAAGTAAGAGTGTGTGAGAATAGTTTATTATATTAGATCAGATAATACAGCTAAAACCAACCAAACAACAATCAAAGATCTTTGAGCACAGAAGCCCTTCTCCAGGTCTTGAACAGAAGCAGCAATTACCAAAGCCATATAGAAGCTGAGAAAAACAGCTTCTGAATTAGATTTTATTATATTGGTAAATTAGATCGTTTGAGAAAAAAACGCAATTAATATCAGCATTGAGGGGATGCTAGGAAGGATGGGAAATTAGCAAAGGAAGATGTGACAAGGTCACTTACTCCTATGCATCAGAAAAAATTGTCAGCCAGGGAAAACAGGAAAGTTAGCTATGTGTATGGAGGATTATGATGCACCATAAAAATAAGTCTTTCAACTGAGCCCGTAACTTCTAGTGTCAATAGAGTTATGAATTTCAGTTTTCTGTCTCATCTTTGAAAGGTATTTTATAATTTTAAGGGACTAAAATGTCAGAGAAGGATCAAAAGTTCTCCAGAATTTCACAGTGGCAGTTACAAACTTCTGCCCCTTAGACTGCTTAAGTGAATTAATTCTGTTGATAATAGTTCCTTGATTTCAAACAAATAATTTCTACAGGGCAAACTGGTTCATTCAGTGACACGTATTATGTTTGGAGACACACAGCTATAGGATCCAGAACTTCTGGTGGTTTTCTCGAAGGAGGCAGAAGAAAGCTAACATACTTGCATTCTAAGATCAACCTGGTACTATTTAAAGTCATTTGCTTAAAGAATCATTTTCTCCTCCTCTAAAAGAGGAATGTAGCCAGTTTAGAGAAGCTACTCTAGGACTGACCAAATTTGTCACAAAAAAACCCCAAACCCTAATAAGGAAACTGAACTAAAGTATAAAATCTCTACAGACAGGACCAGAGAGTGAACCAAAGAAAGGAAATCTCTGCACAGTTTGCGTAAAATATTCTGCTATTGTAAATGAATGAAGCAGACTTGTAAGTTACTTTGAAAATAGCGGAGTTTGACAATAAACTAGAAATTTAAGAATATTAAGAATAAATATTTTATGTGCCACCATCTCTTTTCCCGCCTGCCCCAGTATTTGGTAGATGAAGAGAGTGGGGAAAGGAGAATACTTCCTCTGACTGTCCTTGAATAAAGGCTACCTGCCACAGTTCAGATATCATATTGGGAAAGATTTGCTCAAAGAAAAGTCATCTCTGGCAATTTCAACTATTCAAGGAAAAGGCAGTTTAAGTCTGCCCACACAGAAAGATGTGCAGCAGTGACTACCACACAACTTATATTACACATTGCAAAGGCAGGGACACCAACAGAGACACTGGTGTCTTATTTGCTCTCCTGGCAAGTATACAGCTGTTATGACAGACTTGCAGCTTCAGTAGCTGAAAAAGTCATCCCCCCTTCTTCTACAACCCCACACCCCCATCCTTCCCCAGGAGTTCTAGCACTGCCAAATGGTTGCTTTCTTTAAACAGTGACTCTTTTTTGGAGAAGCTGAAGTTGGCTTCATACTGTTGAATATATTTGTATCTGGTTGGCATTATGATACAAATAGGAACAAAGCAGTTCAGGGTCCATCTGGGTAAAGCAGAGATTATTCTACAGTAATTCTAGAGACAAAAATTAATGCTTATATTGTACACTTTTGAGTATTCAATTAATTGAAACAAACAGGGTAGGCTAAAAAAAACCTCAATTACTGTTTCCTATTTGTGTCTTTCTTGTACCATGCTTATACACTAATACCACGCTCTTTAAAGTTGCATGCAGGAATCAGTATGGCTCTCCCTCTTTCACCTTGTTTTTTCCCCAAACTTTCTTCTGAAGTATGACACTGGCCCAACTAGAACAAAGCTGGAGACTGAGATGAGCAGGTGCTCCCACGCGTCATTTCTGGTGTTCATCTTGCCCGTACATTCAGAATTAAAATTATTTCAGTGTAGAAAATTATCCAAAAGGACATGCTCCAATTTCATAGACGTTAAACAAATAAACAGAACAAAATGTTCTGTAATAACATGCTCCAATTTCATAGACATTAAACAAATAAACAGAACAAAATGACTAGCAAAAGTTCTTGAAGTATGCTCGTATTAGCTTTTGATACAGGAAGTCATGAAGCAACTGTATGGGAAATTTCACTATTTTGACTTTACACAATATAAGGGAATATTAGATTTTAACACACATAACAGACTGTCTCTGAAATAATCAAATTCACAATTAAGAGAGGAGAGATGGTAACAGAAAATAAACTAAAAACAGAAATTAGGGACTTCAAGGCCAAAGACTTCAGGAAGTTAGGTTTCTGACAGAAGGATGTTGGAGAAACCTGACAATTCCTTACAGAAATTATACTAAAAGTAAAAAGACAAGCTATGCCAATCCTGAGGAACATCAGGAGGAACAGAAAATCACCAAACTGAAGTCGTAGGTGTTTTTGTGACTTAAAAGCAGATTTGCAGTGCCAGCCAGTAAGAGAACACAGAAGCGCCAATCAAACTGAGATACAAATGTAAGAAACCTAAAAAGGGTACTAGAAAAATATTATAAATAGTAAGATGATGAGTAGGGGAAAATATGTCCTATTAATCATCCAGGAAGGAATGCTGGATGCTGAAACAGAAGATAATAGCAAAAAGTTATACTGTCTAGAAATCTGAAAAAATCCAGAGGAACTCTAAGGAGTTTGTTGGGTAGAAAGAAACTCTGAAACCACAATTATATTGTTCCATACATAATTATAACAACAAACCAGCCAATGATAGGGAACTCATTCTACGTGAAAGCAAAAACATGAATTGCTAAGGAATTGCAAAATACTTTTTTAGCAGTATTGTTACAATAGAGTCAGGCTATTTAAGGTCTTCCTATTTTAGCTGGGATTTTGCTCACAGTATTATGTATTTTCCATGTCGCCTATGTTTCAGGTACACACAAGGGTTTCAAATATGTTTCTACATATATCTCCTTACCTGGCCTGCTTCATTTCTTTTTTCGTAATAAGCCTGCTGATTTCCACTGAATCCCCAAGCTGTAGATCTGTTAACTTAGTGGCTATAGATATAGCAGCTATTCTGAAAAAGAGCAGCATCAGATTTCATTTGAGGCAACACATAAACCTTTGAAAAGGTGTATAAAGCTGCAGATTTAAACCTCCAGGTGGAAGAAGTAAGACAGACTGACCATTTCCTCATCAGATTACAGAATGAGACCCTAGTTCCATATCACCTAGTTTTAGGAGTCTAATCTAGCTACATAAATTAAGAAGTTACTCTTTCTCATCTCCCTCAAGCAGCTAGGAGCAAGACTAACAAATGGACATGCTTCTTCAGGGAATTTTTCAGAGCATCAATTCTAAGCAAGTCTAAACTAGGCAATACGAATACTCTTTCTTCTCACCTGCTTAATATTCAAACTACAGCTGACCGAATAGCTTTAATTGCCTTTTTAACTTTTATGTGATTCTTCCTTAATTGTGTGCAACTAAAACCTGTAAAGTAAACTTATAAAGTACTCAGAAATTTAGAAAATACGGATGATACAAGCCAAAAGGAAAGAGCAAAATGCCTACTGAGACTGTTAAAATTTTCTTTATATTCTTCATCACTCCCTTCAATAACAAGCCTTCCCAGTCTAATTTTCTTGCTAGATTTCTGTAACTAAAATATACAGCAAGTTTTTAGTGAAATATCCCACACCATTCTCAAACAAAATCCTGAAAATGGAACATTCTATCCCCTGAACCATCTTTTCTGTTAAATGCAGATAAAAGGATATGTTTGTCTCTATATGTTTTGCATCACATTCAGAGAACTAATCATCTATCAGGAAGGAAGATAATCGTATTAAATAAAAACAAGAAGCACTGAGAGGCACCATCAGCTTCATATTTATCAGGTGGTGACAAAGTCTAGGCAATGGGCCATTAGATGATATAACATCATCATTTGTATCATGTGTACAGATATAGCAGCACACTCCCTTTCCTGTTCCCTTGGCCATTCTTTCACCGATATTCACTGACAAAGCTCAAAGCTGTTTTATCACTCCTGTAGCGTTTTTGAGCAAACTTGGATACCCCATTAACTTGCTAACCTTTCCACACTAGTACTACAAAAGTTACTTTGTTGTGTTTGTTTTGGGGGTTTTTTTTTGTTGGTTGGTTGTTTTTTTTCTCCTCCCCAAGTGTGGAGATGATGGGAAAAAAGCCAAACCTAACTCCCACAAAATCAGAGTATTTTAATCTTTCAGCAACCTGAACAGTTAAGAGTTATCATACAAAATTAGCTGGCATTAAATGCTGCTTTTGTTAGCATCACATGGGCCCAGAGTAATTTGTAACCATATATGAACACATTTGAACTAACAGATACAAACACTTGCTTTAAACTGATTGTTTCTTTCCCTTCCACTTGACTTGGGCTCTAATTAGAAAAATAAATACTTATGTGTTCAGCTTATGCATGCAAGGACTCTCACGACTTCGAAGAACCATTTTCCTTGTATGAATACTTCTGGAGTGCCTGAGCTATAGAAACAATGGAGAAATAATAGCCTTCAAAAATTTGGACTTGTAATTGCGTTACCTTCCCAGCTTATCATTGACAAGCATGTGTCAATTTAAACTGCTATTTCAAAGTTGAGTCAGTCTTCTGATTTGTACTTAGTGACATAGATCTTGACAAAAAACCCCTCTTTTTTTCTAAAAAAGAAAAAATGATCACCACTCCTGTACGTCTATCTTGCATTCAACTTAGTATTGACTACAATTGTTCTTAACTGTTTTCTGATTAGCACATTTTTTCTCCTCATTTTCATTAGGTAATATTAAGCACCTATTACATAGATGCTAAGCCACCTTCTGTCAGAATTTGAATCTGGGCAGCGTTCAGTAGGAACAAAGCAGCATATCCTAAGCTGGGCTAGTACTGGGCCCTCAAATAGCAGTTCCAAATAAAACAATCATTAGGAAGCTTTCTTTGAAAGACAGGAAGAATCTGTGACTGTGCTCTCCTATCAACTGGAATGCAGAGCACAACTCTGGTTGCATATCAACTCTCTAGATTAATTTTTTTACTCCCTCTCAATCACAGCCTCAAAGTAACATTTTTTTTTAATTATTATTACTGTTTTGCTATTTTCATTTCAAAAGTTCCAAAGCCCTACTTTTCTTCTTTTCCTTGTCCCTTCCTTGCCCCCTCTTGTAAGGGAGAAAGAGAAATAGAAATAGGATCTGGAGACAAATCTATTGCAATAAATGGAGTTGGGTAGGACTCAGTTTTTAAGAACCAAGATTTAGATGCCAAAGCTCTCCTGCCTAAATTTAGCTATTTCAGAATGACTTTAAATCACTCTTTAGCTTCCATCATCTGTATTGACTAGGTTCCATCACACATTAAGGGAAACTTAGACAGCAACTCACACATGGACTGCTATATGTAGTCATCTACATTCAGGAGCCTGAACCTGGACCTGCCCAATTAGTCTGTATCTAATTGCTCTGTGTGCGTAGAGCAGATTTCCACAGATGGGAGATTCAAGCTTTGACACACCACCACAGTTTGACTAACAACAGTGAAAAGAGGAATGTGTTCTAGTACAGCACAGCTGGTATGAAAGCTCAGGGGAATACAAAAAAAGAAACCATACGTGAAAGTACAAAAAAAGTGTGAAAAAGCTTGTGAATGAAATATATTTAGTCAAGCCTGAAATTTAATCAAACTGCAAAGAAGTAAGTCCAGTAAGGAATTAAAAGAATTATTACAGTACAAACCTTTGATATGTATTAGACGCTTCTGAGCAAATCATACTCTCCTTTCTTCTTCCACACTCACATTGAAGATCAACCTGTTGTATCACAGAAGACAGCAGCTTTTTTAAACTTTTGTCTTTTTACGGCCATGGAGGTGTGTGAGGGAGGGAAATCTATTCCTTTAAAAATCCCACTTTAGGGGAATAATGGCAAATTAAAAGTGATGAATAGTTTTTTTAAAAAAATGTGAATATTATAAGTTTATGTAAAAAATTACATGTTATCAATATACAAACATGCCATTTTTTGTCTGTTATTGGCTGATAATTAAACCATACAATTCACCTGTGAATATGCAGTGAATTTTCTCTGGGTATCTAACCTTTGCACAGCAGGGTGTTGTTGGACAGGGTGAAGAAGGATGACATGGAGCCATGCAAGGATGATTACAATATAGCCTTGGAATAATACATGGCTGTTTACACTCTTCGTCTATAAGACATTCTCCTTTATGACAGATTCTTTTACATTTGTGCATTCCACACTTTAACACTTGATTGCAGCGAAGTCCGCAGGAAATGTCAGTGAGATGACAAGGAATATTACTTCGCAGCTGGAAGAGGGGAGGAAAAAGACGACAACTAAAAATTAAAAATGCAAATCTCAAAGTACTTTTACTGTTCACACCTTCATTTGGCACTGTCCATGCAAGAATCGTAATACTAAAATATCTTAGGACAAAGACTGAGTTTTTCTTTATATCGTAGTCCAATATAGCAGTTGGTCTGAATTCATATGGCATAAAAGATATACTTTTCTAATCTAATCACATTAAACTCAAACTCCAGTAACATATTCCATTCCAAAGAGGCCCCAAAAATCTAAGTCTACAGTCTTAGCACATTATTTAGTATTCAAAAACATTAAGCATCCAGACTTACTTCATGCTTGCCCATACACCATTTCTGAGTGAGATAGGTACACGGTGGACATTTCTCCTCACTATGACATGAATGGTACACTGCAGTCACAGTAATATAAAAGCCAGCACAGTTTTATTAGCATATTTCGGTCAAATGCATTAAAGGAGACAGTAAAGACTATTAAACGTGAGTTTGCATTTCAGAACTACACAATTTATGGGAAGTGTGATGCTTCACGCAAAGATAATCTGTTCTTTAAGTACTCTCTAAAAATTATGATATCAGGTTTTTAGGTGAATATTCTTCCATATTTTCTAAATTAAATAGCAGAGAATTTTGTAAGTTCTGACCAGGGTTATACTATCAGACAGAATTTGTTAGAAAGCATATCTGTTTGACCTGTGCTATGTTTTTTGAAATCAGCCAATGTAATTCCAAGGAATCTAGAAACTAACTGTTCACTAGATTACCCTACTGTTTCAACAGAGCACTTAATCTTTGAAATATAGCATTTAATGTGTTGAGACTATTAATAATGATCAGAAAAAAATTCAATGCTTTTACCTGCCAGGAGTATCACTACTAGTATTCAGGGCAAGTTTTTAGTTGGTTGGCTCTTAATTGTAGATTTTTGGAAATATTCACAACTACTGAAAAAGCATGTAATAAAAAAGCAAATATATTTTCAAACAGACCTATATACACTTTTCTACATTTTGATTAAAACAAAACAAAACACGCAAGCAAAACTGAATGGCCTGACTTACCTGGATGATCACAGTCATGTGGCCTGGTGCACGGTTTTTTACACTCTGGTGGCTGAGTGCCACAGGGGACAGGAGGGTAAATCACAGATTCACCACAATAACAAGTTAACTCATCAAAACCTGAAAAGACAAGTCAAATATATGCCAATGGCTACATGTATTTGCATTTCTCCACTATGAGTAATCTTTAAATAACATGCAAATGTTTTACTCCAGCTTTGTTTTTTGATATTAAGCACCACTGTAGTGAATTTATTAGCTTTTGTGGCTCCTACAAGCAAACTGGACTATGACCACTTCATTATG